CATCAAATACAAATGAAAGATAGAAAAGATAGAAGTATAGAATGGGATGTACATTTGCTAAGACAGGCGACCAGTGTCAGTTATGAATCTCTGAACTATATCAAGAATAAATTTATTCATGTTTGCATCAAGTATAGGAGAACATTTGAGAAATGTATCAATTGAAGGAGGTATAGAATCACTAAGGTCAGAAAGGGAATTAAAGAGGAGTTGTCTCTGGTTAGTAAAGAAGGGACAGTGGAAAAAGAAGTGGGTACAATCTTCAACTGGGTGGCCACAGTTACAGGCAGGGTTATCTTTAAGGTGGGAATTGAATAAATCAAAATTCAGATTACTTGCAGAGTTTCTTAGTTGACATAAAATTATGTTAGCTTTTCTTTGTCCTTTATATTTGAAAGTATCATTACAGTGGAAAGGAGAAATGGTAGTTTGCTGTGATAAAAAAGATTTTTTTATCGCATAAATAGAAGTTAATGAGGGATACAGACAAGATGGGCCATTCCATTCATTCATAAGTTTTGGAAAGAAGCTAGTGCTATATTGACAAGTTCTTGTATGGGGCGCATCAAACAATCTATTGTGTCGAAGTGGATAAGGAGCATTATTATTGTTTATAAAAGGTTGGATAGAGTCAAATACATGAGGAGTGCATCTGTTATTTAAAATCTTAAAAAAATGGATATTTTGATGTAAGTGTCTTCTTTTAGCTAAGGGTATTAATCCAGACTCATTATATAGAATTGCATGACTGGTGCCCCGTCTTAGGCCAGTAATAATGTGAATTGCCTCTAGTTGAATTGATTCTAAGATGTTGCATTCCCTTTCTGTGCAATTAGCCCAAACAATATCAGCATATTCTAAAATAGGACGAATAAATGTAATATATATTAATTCAAGTGACTTTCTGTCAATTTTATACTTTAACATTCTAAGTACATTTATTCGTTTATAAGCTTTCTCATAGATAGAGTTTATGTGGTTTGACCAATTAGCATGACTATTAAAAGTTAGACCAAGGTGCTTATGGAAGGTAACATTTTTAATAACTGAATCATTAAAGTACAGATTTGGATGCAACATCTCCGAATCAACTCTCCTTGAAAAAAGTAGGGATTCTGTCTTGTCAGGATTAAAAATAATACCCCATCTATTGGCCATCCTAGAAATTTTTTGAAGATCATTATTGAGTATATTAGCTGCATCTTGTCTATCGCCCTCAATTAAGCCATATAAAGATGTGTCATCATCTCAAATAATTTCACATTAGATAGTAAATCATCACCAATATCATTAATATATAACAAAAACAGATAAGGACCAAGAACTGAACTTTGAGGGACCCCAGCCTGTAATGTTTTCCAGTTGGACTTGTATCCATCCAAGACCACTCTCTCCCCTGTTAGTTAAATAAGATGAAAACCACTTTAACATGTTATTACTAATGCCATACTTTTTCAATTTAAAAATTAACCCATCATGCCAAACTCTATCGAACGCTTTGCTTATGTCGCAGAATATCATTCTTGCTTCTTTACCTTTATCCAAATGCTTAGTAATTTCATCATATATAATTAATAGTTGATTAACAGTGGAATCTTTAGGTAAGAACCCTGATTGATTTCTGGAGATAATGTTATGTCTTGAGAGATAATTATAAAAATATTTAAAGACAATTTTCTCAAGGATTTTACTGAAGATGGGAGTAACAGAGATTGGCCTGTAGTTGGATGGATCACTTTTTCCTCCTTTTCCTTTATATATAGGTGTTACATGAGCATTTTTCCAGGAGGTAGGAAGTACACCTGCAGAGATAGATTTATTAAATATTATTGAAAGAGGTTTTATAAGGGATTGAGAAACACCTTTTATGAATTTGGGAGGGATAGAATCAGGACCTGCAGGTTTGTTAGTATTAAGAAGCTTAAGTTGGTCGATAATGTCCTGTTCAGTTATGTCGATTGAAGAGAAGTTAATAATTGGTGGGGATAGTCAGGTAGTAAATCATCATCATTCTTGTCTGTTGTTGAAATAGAAGTGAAGTAGTCATTGAAAGTCTCAGCTTTATCTAGAGGGTGTATTTTCAGATCACCATTAATAATAAGGGGAGATTCAGTATCGCTTTTATTATGTAGATTCATAACTGATTTAGCAATTCGCCACCATTTTCCAGGAGGAATAGTTTTATTAATAAGAGAAGATTGTAATTTAGATAGATATTTATCTTTAGCCTCTCGGATTAAAGTAATGACTTGGTTTCGAATAGATTTGAATTTATTCCATGAGGCATGGGAGTTATTTTGTTTAGCTTTAGAATGCTGACGATTTCTCTGTCTTATTTTCAGTCTAATTTCATTAGTCATCCATATTTTGTCATTTGGTCTAATAGTAACAGTCTTGTTAGGTACAAATTGGTCAATAGCTGATAAAATGTTGTTAGAAAGAACATAATTCATTTCATCAATATCACCAACTAATTGAGAATTCCAGTCAATAGAATTAAGAAAGCTGAGGTAAACAAGGCCATGAATTGGTGAACTTTGCCCATAAGTCACCAAGTAGACATTTATTGAATTGTGCACCTGGTTGTTTGTGAACATAACAAGCCCGAAGTGCCATTAAGCCAAACTTACTATAAAAGAAATTAATCGGTTGTAGCTGAAATTGTCATTAAAAGAAGGCTGGTTGTTCAGCGAAGACATCAATTCATCATTGAATGATACAGGAGTTATTTTAGCAAACGGAAGCTTTAATATTCTTTGGCCTACTATTGATAGTCTGCACTCAAATTGTACATTTTGTACACCACCTTAGTAATCTAAGTCTATTCATACGTTTTGTTGTTTCTATACCTTGTTGATTTATATACCTAAGACACAGAATACCATTACCTGTATTTGGACATGAAATATATTTGTTATGTTTTGATATTGCCGATGCTAAAAGTAGATGATGTATGTTTTATTCCAAGTTGCAAAACAAGATTTAAACATCAACGGAAGAACTTCAAATCAGCACGACGTCTGGATTCGCCTCAAAAAACATATGCTCAATACAGAGGGGCTGGCTGTAAAGAATGAAAATAAGTTGTGTGTAAAGAGTTACATGAGGTACCTTAGAAACAAAAACCTGACTCAAAAAACGGCACTCAGTGTAATAATGATTTTTAGTTAACTTCTTTTGATAAGATTGGAGATAAACCAAATAACAAAGAAACGATCCCTCCACATCTACCTCTTCTTCGCTTAGAAGATTTGAAGTACGCTTCCTCTTCCCGTCGGAAGTATTCTCATATTTAGAGTATAACGACAGCTGCGTAGACATTCCTAAGTCTGTCCGTCACTCTCTTATCCATACTCACTTTCTGATGCTTGTACATGTTTTAAACATAGAGGAAGCATTCTACATAAAAGATCAGTATTAACAATGATGTTCCTTTGCAAAGTAAACTGAATGGATTGATTTCCTCAGTTGTAATCAATGATTTGCTTGAAATTGTACATCGAGTATCAAGATATTTTCACAAAATTGGCGATATATTGAACACTTTAGTTGGCCCCTTAGTACAGCCCTTGTATCACGTAGAGAAGCTGTCACACATACATACTGTATTTACCAAAGCATTTTATGCATTTAGAACATCCAAAACCAATGCAACCACACAGTTACAAGCTCAAAGATTCTATAATATAAAACAAATATACTAATGTCCAAATGAAAAAAACAGAAAATCAGTACCAGAAATTTGCGTCGATAAAAGTAATTAATATTTGTGAGTAATTATCACTGTATGCCTGAGTAATGACAACAATCATTAATTATTTCGGATTATAAATTTATATTTAAAAAATACTTCGTCAGCGTCTTAACACTTGTATGTAATAGCCACGCCCTTATGTTTCTTTACCATTATGAAAAAGAAAACATACTGATAAATATTTGTATTAAAATCTATTCCTCCAACAATTTTACCGGTCCGAGAGTTCGATAATTAAAGTTTTTGTGGCCAAAAATTTGTGAATATTTTATGTGAATAGCAACTCTAAGTTTCTCGAACTGTTTTCCATCACTTGATTTGTTGAAACTTTCATTTTTGTTTTCACAGTTAAATTTCCATAATTTTTTATATATGTAAAACTTTATTTTTTCCGACATTAATGAAAAGGATTTGACCCAACTTCATTATTTGTTCTGGTTTATGAAAAAGGATCATAAAATACATATTACAGGCCATCAGTGACTTTTGTATTTTGGAACATATATTCTTAGAAGTTTACTGGGGTTTTACAAAAACAAAAAAAAAAGAAAGAAAAAAGAACACACAATAAAGATTAAATTGCGATTTAGGCAAAATTACATGTACTGTGAAACAAAACTTTTTGATGAAAATGAAAATATAGGTGTTGTTTGATACAAGAAACACAAAGATGCAATTAGCTTTTTGATTGAACAAAAAACATGGGTGCAAAAAATGTTTAAACTTTGAAACTTTAATATTGTCAATGGTGTGTGTCATGTTTCGTCCAGTCCTATCCTCTTTTGTACATGTAACAGCTCTCTATTGTCCAGTATCATCTGCTAGAGTCTGTTGACTGATTTCCCTGAGTCATGCATGACTGCGTCTATGGTCTTTAGTATGTAGTATGTCAGGTATCTTGCTCAAGTTTAGATAAGATGTAAAATTATTCCCTAATTCAATTAGCATTATTTTGCGACAGCAGATGTAGTATAGGGAACTTATGTAAAAACCCCCGATACAAGTAGAACCTGTTTTAATGTTGTCTTTATAACACATTTCTATTAACTACAAATAATTACGTCAAGAATTAAAAAATATGATGTCGTCGAATCTGTTACAGTTTTTTTCTATATTTTTGAGGTAACCAGCTTTCTGAAAATCTTTGATTTTTTGTTTCCTTTTACAAATTTGGAAACAAAAAGGATTATGCTAATTACATAAAAAGTATTTAAGTCAAATCAAATGTTAAAACGTTTTAATCAAGTATGTACTGCGTCTGCTTTCCTTTTTGTAGATAATAAAGTTTGTTATGAGTGTTGGCACATGTCACATCCTCGGGATTGCAGCAATATAGTAGAATGCGGCTCTAATCAGGTAGGCAGAACAAAACATATATATTGTACACTAACAGGGTTTAAAACAAACCAACAAAATATGTCAGACTGATTTTCTAATAGTTTTGGTTTTCAGAACAGAAATATTTTAAATGTGGTTTTTGTACGATGTTTAACATTATAGCAACAGCCACGGAGCGTGTGTTCTCGTAAACATGCTTGTAATAGTGTGGAACTGATGCCGCGCTACCACACTAAACACACCCGTCCCGGTCGCATTATACTGACAGCAAGCAACCTAGATGTTTCATACACCAACGCAGGTCTGAGTGTCAAACAGGACTCAATTACGGCCTTTCAAAATTCTGAAATGTGTCGGCAATGGAACAATCCTGAAGGCGTCTTCACAAAGTGGAAAATTCAACTAAATGCTAAAAGAGACACAATGAAAAGGGTGTCATTAAGGAGAACACCTATTTAGGAATAACAGGAAAGTCGCAACTATATCTTAGTCGTCTCTGAAGATCATCTAATGGGTAAAGCGGGCACAATTCTTACGTCCTACCCACAAACATGCGATTTCGTGCTATGTAAATGGAACGCCGCTGCTTTGTTATGCCTTAAGACATATTTGGATATTTTTTTGTTGTATTACATAGCATGTTTTTCATTAGCTTTCTTTGTTTTTAATGTAGTAAAATTGTATACAACATTTCATTGGTAATAACAACCAACCTTTCATTATTTTATTTACCTAAAATTTGCTTCATTTACAAATATATACAGGTGTAAAACAAAGCAAATGTTAACATAGAACATGAAATTATTTACTTTGAGATCTACATAATTGTCCTTCTTGATGCGGAGGACTCTTACTCTTCTGGAACCTCTGGTCTTGAAGCGTTTTCAATAGTCTAGACATAAATATTTCCATTCTTCAATTTTTTTTTATTTGTTTTGTTTCAATTAGTAATAAGTTGAAATATCTATATATTCTTGTATTTTCAAAATCATCATAAGATGTATTTCGGTAAAAAATTTACTTATACATTTCAAAATTTCAGTGCTTATTTGGATTTGAAGTAAGCTTCGCGTATAATCATGTATCATTTATGTTACTTCATTTGTTATAAATCATTATTTATTCTTTCTTGTTTTATTCTAGATTTCGTGGATAAACCAAAACGAATTTATAAAATGTTAAAAATTTGACAAAAGTTAGAATTATCAATGAATCCGCCAGTACTGTTTCGTTCACTTTTGAAATATATTTTATCTTTTATCAAATTTGCTTTGTTTCAGACATTTAAAACCACATACTTTGTGTTCACGAAAAACTTGCCGTTACTTTTATTTGCTATCAGGTTTGTTTTGTTGAGCGGTACGTGACGAGCGACGCCCACGTCTATTATAATTCTGGATGCTTATCAAATCAGGTAAACCTCACCTAAGTAAAATCATAAGAGTTTATGCGGGGTTGTTACAAAACAGCAAATAAGAAGTGTAAATTATTGACATTTATACCGATAGATATGTTGTTTGTATTTGTAACTATGATGAGAACAACGATGTTGATTTCATTTCATTTGATTAATCAATTGCTATTGTGTGTGTGTTTGTGTGTGTGCGTGTGTGTGTGTGTGTGTGTGTGTGTGTGTGTAGGTGTGTATGTGTGTGTGTGTGTGTGTGTGTGTGTGTGTGTGTGTGTGTGTGTGTGTGTGTGTGTGTGTGTGTGTGTGTGTGTGTGTGTGTGTGTGTGTGTGTGTGTGTGTGTGTGTGTGTGTGTGTGTGTGTGTGTGTGTGTGTGTGTGTGTGTAGGTGTGTGTGTGTGTGTGTGTGTAGTGTGTGTGTGTGTGTGTAGGTGTGTGTGTGTGTGTGTGTGTGTGTGTGTGTGTGTGTGTGTGTGTGTGTGTGTGTGTGTGTGTGTGTGTGTGTGTGTGTGTGTGTGTGTGTGTGTGTGTGTGTGTGTGTGTGTGTGTGTGTGTGTGTGTGTGTGTAGGTGTGTGTGTGTGTGCTAGAAAAAATTGGTATTCACTAATGTCATAGTAAGATATAAAACTGGGGAAAATTAATAAAGATCAAAGTAAACGAAAAAAATAAACAAAAAAGATGAAATTCTCCTTTGCACCACTGTACTAAAAGTAGTTTGCCAATAAAGAATTCTATAGTAGCATACTACTAAGTAGGCAATAAGTAGTGAACTGTGGATTTCAAACTATTTGTTAACAAAATGGCGAGCCCTGAAGAGTAGACGTCTTTGATATTCAATAGCGTATATATCGGCAGGTAAAGCTTGTACAATGCCCGGATGTGGATGTACTTTGATCTGTTATTGTATAGTGACTAAGGTCATAAACGGATTATCAGATAAATACTTATTTAATCACAAACAATCCGGGTATCATTGTACAATGTGTTACTGTCTGGTTCCATTTGTTTATCTATGTGTTAGGAAAAAATAGTTATTAACTGTTTGTTGCGTTTTAGTGTATGTTTAAATTGCGAAATATTAAGTATGTTTAGTAAATTAACTGGAACTGTGTTCACAATTATATCTGTCCTGCCACGCCGATTTTGAGGTGCATGTAAATCAGTCCTGGAGACTTTTTCAGAACTGAGGATTCCCGTATATTTCTACACCATTCATTACGTGATCAAGAATCATCTTGCGACATACATAAAAGTAATGACCCTTTTAAGTGATTAATATCATATTCTTGTCCAACTGATTTGATCAAGCTCAACTCATCATTAGTTATTTCATTTCGTTCAATATCAATGAAATGTTGACCTAACGTTTTGTTAAAGGAATGTAACTTTAGACAGCTTATGTACCTCATATCCCCATGCAGTCGGATATAATTTCAGTATTTATATATCAATGTATTTAAGGTACAATGCATAAAACATGCGTGTTATATCTTCATCGTAAAATACAGACTCTGTATAATTTATATGCATTGAAATGCATTAAAACTGAAATAAATTTCCACAATATTCCCTTGCAGAGTTGCCATAGCCATTATCCGATTCTTGGACGACGTGAATCAGAAAACACGGCGATTACAAAGCCTGACGTCACGGACCTCAAACGATACAATCCATCACAATATCCGGACTGCTCATCCTGTTGTCAGAGTGACTACTGTAACACCAATCTTTGTGAAACTCACCAAGGTATTTAATATACCCGCTTCCCTGTGGATTTTGTAATCTGTATATATGTGTGGTGCCTTATTCAGAGTTCAGGAAAATTTTCAATCACTTATACAAACACAAAATATGTGAAACTGCACCATACTGATGTAACTGAGGAAAGTAATGGCCTCGATTTCAGTATTGTAGTGAATATAGGTGTCGAGTTGACATGCCTTGGTAAGTTGGCTCATGAGCGACAGTACGTTACAGCATTCCCCGTGGTGTACACATTGGACAGGCTATAGAAACGTATGTCTTCCCACTCTGTTCTAGAGTGATCGTACTCTACCGTTACCATTCGCGGCATATCACACTTATTTGTATACAACATGGCTTTGTTATATAAAACGTTCAGAGCAGTACGACTCTACAATAAGCGGTAGCTGCAGGGTATACACGGCAACAGTCGGTGCCGTGGCTCTAGGCAATGTTATTGTTCGATAAGCGATCAGTATTGCATCCACAGCAGTGTTTTGAGTACATTTTATTCTATATTATTACTAGTCTATCTTAGCGATCTGTGGGAAGGGAGGGCCAAGCAAATGGAAAATGAACTAACAGAAAATAGTATAGCTGAACGTTTTCAGGTTGTTTCATCATGTGACTTTGTTTGCGTGGGACTTAATTCTTTAGGGGTTGCGTTTGAAAGAGTCAGTGAATTGGAGGAAGGACTGAGAGGGTATCGCGCAAAGGTCCTCTTCCAGTGTGTTGGCCAGTTATCTCTGTTAGCCAATAAGCTATTATCAGGAAGGGCATTGTTGAATAGGTGAAGCATTGCTGCAATCCTCTTCGAGGATTCTTATCGTTAATTTGTCTGAACCTGGTGGTGTCGTCAGAAAATGTTTGTAGGTGGTGATCTATAGCCCTGAGGCTGTGCTACGGCTGTTTGATGGTACTGAAGTCCTTGGGCTCTGAGCCACAGCCACAGCAATGTTCACAACAGGAGCGGATTGGCGATTCCTGTTGAAAATGTCGTCTTCCTTGCTATTCTAAGTGGAGGGGCATTACATAGCAAATTGAACACAAGGAAAATGCAGGCTTTGGGACCTTCAGCATGTTCAGTTGTAGGTGGAATGGGACAGTAGTCAAAGCTGGAGATACATGGGTGTTGTACTAATGTAATGTGTTTCATACCCGATCAATTGGTGGTCATTTGGGTGATCGCTCTGGCGGAAGATCCCATTTTTAGAATAACTTTGGTAAAGACTTTGCCTAGCGTTAACATTGCTTTGGTGATCGTAATGAACGTCTTTTGTGTGGTTCATCTAGACTATTCACAGATTCGTCCTCAATCTCGATGATTATGACAAAAGAAGTAGTGTAGTTCATGGCATCACATTATACTGTATGCAATAACATGTCATATGTTTCCATTATCATAACTGTATATAATCACAATAGTATTAACTATTTAAAAAAACATTGTTTCTTTATGATTGTACAAACTGCATACAAGAAAATAACACATTTCAATACAAGTCTAGAAGTAGATACAGCAGGGCCAAATAATTAATTCAACTGCATCATATAACTGGTTTGGCCTTTTACAACCCTTTCTTCATTTTTTTCATATTATTACAGCTTATTCCAAATCGAATGATATGAATGATTTGTCTTTAATATGAATGAAAATGTTTTTAAAATGTCCTTTTTGATAATTGGATTGTTCTTTAATGAATCTTTAAAGACAATGGCATTCACGTTCTTAGTAAATTCCACGAAAAAACGCTGCCTGTCCTGCGATAGCGTGGAACACCCAAGTGAATGTCATAAAGTGATTGGATGTGATGTGGACGAGGTAAGTGGGTGTCTCGTATCAAACATGGACGTGGCTTATCATCCATTGGCGTGTCTTATCATTCATGGGTGTGGCTTATCATTCGTGGGCGTGTCATATCATCTGTGTGTGTGGCTGATTAACGAAATGACATCACAATTCATAGTGCCTTGAATGGAATTTTACCAAGATTGTTAAGATATTTAAACACTCTAATGACATATCTGTTTTAAACATAGTTTTATCACTCATAAAAGAATGCATGTATTACACGATATTTGTCTGAATGATTCCAGAATTTGATACTCCACCACTTTCTCATGGAGAAAAGTGTTATTTTTCACAATATTTTAGGACACTAACACCGATGTAAAGAGAGAACACAAATATTCTTATAAAATTGACAAATTCAAAAATACCCGGTAAATTATTACCTTATCAGAGATCAAATCCAATCCTCAACCGAACGTCTTGTAAGCAGGTATAGCCATTTCAAAGAGACGCGTCATCAACGGCGACAGCTTTATGCTGCTACCATATTTTCAGCAGCGTAACAAGTTAAACCCTCTCCTAACGCTTTACAACAAATTTTGTCTCTTAATAACATTGATATGTAACATTTTCTATATGATATAAAAAGAAAGTTGTTTTGAAATTTATTTTTTCGTTCAAATATATTTATTGATTTAAAAAACGGACTAAAATATGACGCATACTGCGAAGTTACAATGAGTGAGTATTACAATGTCATAACTGCTTTTTAATTATAAAACATGTCCTGATTTTTCTAACTTTTGGCTACTACCGTTTTAAAAGGGTTTGTATTTGAAGACGACAGTAATTCTCCCTTTAGAACGTGACATTACTTACTGTGTTTTAGTTAGGATTGACCAAGGTTAACATGGCGGGTGTCATCGATGAAGAAGAACGCCGCTTCTTAGAATCACCTGGTCTCAATATCCTTGCACTTTGACAGGAGTCTTCGTGTAAATCTTTCTTTTGTTTAAATTTTGTCCTAGTTAATTTGAATTTGAGTTTGGATTATGATTATAATGACATGTTGGTATTTTCTTTTTGCATTTTTTATCGGACCAGCACTTCATAACTATTCGAATCGAGTTCGGCAAATTGCAATACCGATACCACCTTAGCTGTTACCGATTGTTTTCCTTGTCTTATTTTATCTACACGTATCACAAGAATAGATCATACTGAATTAGTGTTCAATAAAAATCGATAAACGTTTGTAAAATACGGAAGTAAACACGTCTTTTGGCTTTTTCTGTTTTGGCTTTATGTACTAGCATTATACTGGCCGACTATCGACAGGAGATCATCATCGATGTCACAAGTCCAATTGCCTCGGTATCGCCCACAAAACATTCATATCAGAACACTTATTTATCGGTTGGTTTATGCCGTCAGTCACGTAGTCTAGGGGAGGCGGCATCTTGTAATATACAAGTAGTAAGCTTTACGTTTAGTGATATTATCCACGGTACTGATTTATAATTTCATTATCAAAGACATCCTTCTCTTTATCTAAGTACAGAAAATATTCTGATGAAAAGTTCTTTGAGTTTCTTGTTCACTGTGGGTTCTATTTTCTAGCATATTAGAGATTTACATAAAATCGGGAAAATGAGATAAAACGTAAAATCAAAGGAGATAAAAGATACTTCAATTCCTGAATTTCGAGGAAAATAAACTTTCTTATTATTTGCATGAACCATCAACATAACTCCATTCACATTATACTTGAAATATACATACATAAATTAAGTCTCTCTAGTGTTTTATAGATGTGCTATACAACCTATTACCTACATACGTTTGGTGAAAAAAGATATCGACTAGGATGTATGAGGAAACATGTAAGTATATATTGTACAATAGGCACAAGTGAATAACACTTTTCGATGCAAATTCTACCTTGATCTAAAATTAGATACAATGTTACTACCTCATATGAGATACTTCAAGAAGACGTCTGTGACGATTCGGACCAAAAATAGTGAAATACAGGAAACCAAGTATGGAAATCGAAATGGGTCGAAATAAAAAGTAGATTGACATATGCACAAGCCCGATGATTTAATTAAATTGCGTTATTTCTAATATTGAATTAAACGTCAAAATGTATCTTATATTAAGTTATTATCGTAAACTAGTAAATGAATGTCAGCTTAGCATGTATATTAGATAAATAATGACATATTGGTTTCTTACTTGTATTAATTGGCTTGATATGTATTTAAGAACATTCTAATATATTAATCTAGTTTACGTTTAACTATAATCATAACTGTATTTCAGCTGCTTCTTCTGAATATAAATAACTTGAAACTTCCAAATATCTCAATATTTGGTGAATCAAGCATTTTACAATCGTGTGTGCGGGGGAAATGATTTGTACAGAGAAAATATGAGATCAGTGACATTTTCAATCAATATCAATCATATTCTTGTGTTTTTAAACTTTGTCTTGTACCAATGTGATGTTATATTTGGGAGAAGACTTAAAAAGTGTTTGTCTGATGTCCAATTCTTTTGTCAATTATTTGTTTATGTCAGTAGAATTATTTGAAATTGAATTATAAACGTAATTGTTGTTTAAATACATATTTATCGTGGTTCTTATTACACTAGGTGTGCGATCAGAGTGGTATGACAAATCCAGTAGAGACACATTATTGTTCGGAATGCTGCACGGGTGACAACTGTAATAGAGATTTGTGTAAAAGTGAGTTATAATATAACGAACGGTATTGCCTTAGGTCTGATTTTGAGAACGTGACATTCCTTGTATTGACCCTTATTTACAATGAAACGGGTGATGAATAGTCGTTAGGGAAGCCTAGCTCAATTATAACGGTGCTATTTCAATTATATTTTTATATTGTGCTTTCGTTTATCAATTCTATCTATTATCTAATAGTTTTAAATCTGAATGGATGTTCTTTAAGTCGTTATAGTTCTAGTAAACCGCAGAAAAAGGTATGATTTCTTTGAAAATTAAGTAGTTTTCTAACCGGATGTAAATAATATGCCAAAAACAACGCCGCTGACATTTGATAAAATTTGTTACCTGCAATTGATGAAATCGGGGTATATCAGTCAGGGCTAAGATACCCCGATCTCGCTCGGTTACAGGAAAATAGTTGTTGTTTTCTCGCACCTACTACTATTCAATATTCCATCAGAGTTGTGGCGTATCCCGTGGGAGCCTCAAACTATAAGATATTCTTTACTTTTAAACAATGTTTGACTAGTGTCGCGTTTACAATATAGGCCGCACTTACAAAAATACAGCACCAGATAATGGAAGATCTTATTTTATCTACAGCATCAGGATCTTTACATCCAACATAACCTAATTTTTTTGTTGAAATGCACGGGTGTAGGTGCTACCTTCGCCTACACGCGTATGAATACACCGATGCGTAAAATCCGCAAAAACTCACGTAAGGGTATGAGACAGTATCTTCAGCGAGATAGAAAATACTTGGATGGGGTATTACGTGGGATATCCCTGTCTGAGGTGCGAGAAATCATATATATCTATGATATAGCCTATCGTGACGTCACTTTAGACTTTAGACATTCACCAATGACATTGTGACATAGAAAGTCTAACCATAGACAGAGATGTAGACTTAATATGACTTTAAGTGTGACGAAGAAATATCCGTTTTCGGGATGAATTTTTAACATCAAATGGAAACTCGTGTAAGATCCTGTATGCAAGCGATTCGTTAAGTATTTATTGTGATAAACGTTAAAGGCTTTGGATCAGTGAACTCCAACACACCTCCAAGTTTGAGGGAGTGCCAGGGATCCTTTTAATTTAGGTCGGTGTTATGTAATTATTTAACGTAACACCAGGCGCTAAACAAAGAAAATGGTAGATATCACTATCCAAAGTTGTATTTTTGCAGACGTTGCTTCCGTTACCTCGGCTACTTCTCCTGTTCCAACTGCCAAAACAGTAACCTCGATCACAACTACGTCATCCAGTTGCCAGGATTCTCTAATACAGCCCTGCGCTAAAGAGATACTTCCTATCGTCTGCAACGATGAAATTATGAAATTCTATTGCAAGAAATCTTGTCAAATTTGTCGTAAGTTAAAACAACTGATTAAGCTAGGGGTCAAGGAGACAACTGATCTCGGCAAATAACGTTTCAAATATTTTACTCTTGGTAAAGTTTTAGTCTGTATAGCAATTTTGGGACCTCTATCATAGCAAATTTTCACGCCCACAAACGTGTGTATTTAGAGTTAGCCAAGGATTAATCAAGATTATTTTTTGTTGTTGTCATACATTTCTAATATTTCGTCTTCAACGTTTAACCCTTTTACAGGGATGACTCCATTACCTGAATCCGCGTGTTTCGATACAAACCCAGCTGAATGCAATAACCAAACAATGTTGCAAACTATTTGTGCGAATGAAGAATTAGCCAATCTGTTGTGTCGAAAGAGCTGTGGAATTTGTCATGGTAAGAATATTTTTATTGTATGATCTTGCTTTTAATTAACCAATTTGCTATACGAAATAATGTAAAAACTGACAAGTTTCGCATAATACAATCCACACGAGTAAGTACTTTCTCTATGTGTAACATGATAATTGCAGGGCTATTGTTCCTGCGTATAAGCCCATGTTTTCTTTATTTCTGCGTTATTTTTGAAGCGGGCTAAAGCTTATCTACGGCGAAAATTTTCGTATACAGTAACTAAATATAGTTTGTATCAATGTGATGTAGGAACTATTATAGGATATTAACATATAACGTTGAAAAAAATCATAAAATTACTTTGAGAGATTTTTTGTTCGTTTTTGTAGTGAACACCGCTAACTCAGCATGCATAGACGTTGATTATCGATGTTTTAATATAACGTTTCTGGCCGGGGCATGTTCGGACCCTGCACGAATGAATCTGTGTAAAAAAAGCTGTTTTATTTGTTCATAATAAACGTGATGGAAGCTACTCAATCAACATGTTATAGTGGGGGTCTCAAACAAATCATGGAAACTGCTTCCGAGTCTCATTTCTTTTATAGTTTATTTCTATTTCTCGTTAACTCGAAGAATACTCCATGTAAAATAAAAATGATTATGCAAGTCTTGTAAAGACCAGAATAAGCAAGGCTGTGTATATGTTTGTTCCGGTTTTATATTGTCAAAACGACACGTTATTTAATTATTTCATTTTCCTTACCTTATCCCTGTTATTACACAACAGAATTCTTATATCATGAAACCACTTGACTACCACTGTCTAAGAGACGTGAAAATTACAAGCTTTCTTTATCATACTCTATAGCTAATATTCAATAGTCTGATTGGTTTTGCTGAGTGTCAATGGTATCACTGGTTCCTCGTTTTTTCCGCCTGCCCTCCTCTCTGAATTTGCATGGTGCTATAACGTTTGAATTATTCGGACGTTCCGTCGACTTTCTCTGGCATCGATAACCGTCAGATCTCAAACCCTATATAAAGTAAGCAAATCCTCCAGGGTCGGCATTCAAACGATTATTGGGGAAGAAGTCGTCACTTTCACATGTATATTGCACATAGATCAATCAGATCACACCTAATAAGGACACACAGGGATCTATTATTATTACATTCTTAACGGCCCTTCAACACATAAATGCTTATTAGGGCCATCAAACGGTAAAACACAGTGATCCAAAAAGAAATAACACTACGCAATCCAAAAGGTAAAAGATAGATGTTAAAAATCTTAATGGTATGTTAACACAAAAGATTAAAATGGTACGTCATAGTCTATTATATAGACCAACATCTTTTAGGTAATGTA